ATTACAGGCATGCACCACAGCACCCAGCTTCCATCACCTTTTAACACCATTACATTGGGACTAAGCCACAACATGAGTTTGGTGGGGACAAAGCATATTCAAACCATAGCCCTACTAAAGGATATTTTGCTCTTTCCAAGTTTTAAGAGTTATAACTAAAGCTGCTATAAATATCTGTGTGCAGACAGGAATTTCTGACTCCTTTGGGTAAACACAAGGAGCACAACTGCTGGATCATAAGGCAAGAGTTTCTACTTTTATAAGGCATCACCAAACTGCCTTTCAAAGTGGCTGTTCAATTTTGCAGTACACCCTAAATGAATTAGACCTTTCATTGCTCCACACCCTGGCCAGATTTCCATGGTGTTAGTGTTCTGTATTTTGGCCACTCTAATAGTTGTGTAATGGGATATTATTGTTTCAATTAGCATTTCTTTGATGACATAAGATATGGAACATCTTTTCATACACTTACTTGAAATCTGTATATCTTCATTGGTGAGGTATCTGTTAAGGTCTTTGGTCCATTCTTTTAATTGGTCATTCATTTTTTTATTGTTGGGTTTTTGAATTCTGTATATTTTGGATAACAGTCCTTTAACATATGTGTCTTTTGCAAATATTTTCTCCCTGTATGGCTTTATCATTTTGTTGTCTTTTGCAAGCACAGAACTTTTTAAAAAAATATTCTTCAGTGATGGGGATCAAACCCAGGCTTCATGCATACTAAGCAGATACTCTACCACTGAGCCTCATTCTCAGTCCAGAATTTTTAAATTTTAATAAAGTCCAGCTTATAAACTCTTCCCTTCATGAAGTATTCCTACTGAACCCAAGTTCATCTAGATTTACTCCTGTGTTATCTTCTAGAAGTTTTACAGTTTGTGTTTTGCTTTTGAGTCTGTTATCCATTCTGAGTTAATTTTTGTGATTGGTATATTGTGTGTGTTCTCTATTGATATTTGTTTGCATGTACATTATTTCTTGAGTATACAATTGTACAAGCACCATTTATTCAAGACTATTTTTAAGTTGGTGCTTTATAATTATACAAGCTAGAGGGATTTGTTGTGATATTTTTATATATGAACATAACATTGTTTGGTCAAAGTCATTGCCCAGAACCTCCTCTTTCCCTCCCTCCTTCCAACCCCATCTTCTACTATATTAGTCTCCCTTCTATTTTCATGAAAATCCCCCCCTCCATTTTTCTCATTTTCCACATGAGAGAAAACATATGACCTTGATGTTCACTTAGCATAACATTCTCCAGTTCCATCCATTTACCTGCAAATGACATAATGTCATTCTTCTTTATGGCTAAGTAAAACTCCATTGTGCATATACATCACATTTTCTTTATCTAAATTAATGTGTTTTGCAACATTCATTAGCAAGCATCTTTGGTTCAGAAAGTCAGTGGGCTCACAAAATCTTTTTATTCTCTGGTGAAGGATGTTTTCTGAAGGAAAGCATGACATTGTGTGTAAAGGGGAAGAATGTAGGATTGGAAAATTTGGCAACCATCCTAGTTCAACTGAAAACATACTAAGCTCTTTCCCAGAATTCACCTTTCTACCTCTCTTAAATAGTCCTTTTTTTTTTTTCTTTTAACAGGCATTACAGTTTTTAGGATTTCAATAGTTACGATTTTCATCTTTCAGGCTTGTGAATTTTCAGGATTTTGATCTTCAGAGATGATTTTGGACTATATAGATTTTGATTTTTTCAGAATATCAACATTTGGGATTATGGTGTTCAAAACTGTATCATTTGGGATTGTACTGGCATTTTTGAAGATGTTCTTTATCAAGTTGAGGAAGCGCTCTTCTATTCTTTACTTAGTAATTTCTTTTTCTTTTTCTTTTCTATTTTTTTATGTGTGTGTGTGTGTGTGTGTGTGTGTGTGTGTGTGTGTGTGGTGCTGGCGTTTGAACCCAGGGCCTTGTGCATGTGAGGTAAACACTCTACCAACTGAGCTATATCGCCAGCCCCCTCACTTAATTTTTAAAAATTATTGTTCTGATGAGTGTTGGATTTTGTTAAGTGATTTTTCTACATCTATTGATAAGAGCATGTGATTTTTATTAGCCTATTGATGTGATGGATTACATAAATTTTCAAATGGTGGATCAGATTTGCATATGTGGAATTAATCCCATTTAGTCAAAGTATGTAATTCTTTCTATACACTACTGGACTCAAAGTGCTAATATTTTGTTGAGGATTTTTGCATCTACATTCAAGAGATATGCTTGTCTATAGTTTTCTTTTCTTGTCATATCTTTGCCTGGTTTTGGAATTAAAGTAATGTTGGTCTCAGAGAATGAGGAAGAATTCCTCTGCTTCTACCTTCTGAAAGAAGTGGTACAGAATAGGTATAATGTATTCCTTGAATATTAGATAGAATTTGTCATAAATATATCTGGGCCTGGTGCTTTCTGTCTTATAAAGTTTATTTATTAATGATTCAATTTCTTTAATAGATTTAGGCCTATTTCTTCTTATGTGAAATTTGGTAGACTGTTTCAAGGAATCGGTAAATTTCATCAAGGTTATCAAATTGTAGGCAAAGAGCTATTTATAGTATTATTTTATCTTTTGTGTTTTTTGTTTGTTCTTTATAGGTATACATGACAGTAGAGTATATTTTGATATATTTTACATACATGAAGTATAACTTATTCTAAATATGATTCTATTCTTGCAGTTGTACATGATATGTACTTTCACTGGTTATGTATTCATATATGAGCAAAGGAAGTTACGTCCAATTCATTCTACTGTCTTCCCTATTCCCATCCCCCATCCCTTCCATTCATTCTTCCATGTCTAATCCATTGAACTTCTATTCTTCCCTCCCCCACTATTGTATATTAGTATCCGTGTATCAGACAGAACATTTAATCTTTGGTTTTTTGAGATTGGCTTATTTCTCTTAGCATGATAGTCTACAGTTCCATCCATTTACCAGCAAATAATTTCATTTCTCTTTATGGCTGAGTAATATTCCATTGTGTATATATACCACTTTTTCTTTATCCATTCATCTGTTGAAAGACATCTACAATGGTTTCATAGCTTAGCTATTGTGAAATGAGCTGCTCTAAACACTGATGTGGCTGTGTCACTAGTGTGCTGATTTTAAGTCCTTTGGGTATATACCAAGGAGTGGGAATACTAGGTCAAATGGTGATTTCATTCCAAGTTTTTTGAGGAATCTCCATACTGCTTTCCAGAGTGGTTGCACCATTCTACAGTCCCACCAACGATGTTTGAGTGTACCCTTTCCCCCACATCCTCACCAACATTTATTTTGTTACTTGTATTCTTGATAATTGCCATTCTGACTGCAATGAGGTAAAATCTCAGTGTTATTTTAATTTTCATTTCTCTAACTGCTAGAGATGTTGAACATTTTTTCATCTATTTGTTGAACAATAGTATTTCTTCTGTGAAGTGCCGGTTCAGTTCTTTTGCCCATTTACTGATTGGGTTGTGTGTGTGTGTGTGTGTGTGTGTGTGTGTGTGTGTATGGTATTTTAGTTCTTTATATATCCTGGAGGTTAATCCTCTGAAGTGCAGGTGGAAAAGACTTTCTCCCATTTTCTAGGCTCTCTCTTCTTACTGGTTGTTCCCTTTGTTATGGAGAAGTTTTGCAGTCTATTTCTTGAGCTTTAGAAGCACTGTGGAGGGAGTCAGTTCCTAAGCCTAAATGACGGAGAGCTAGGCCTTCATTTCTTCTCATAGGCACAGGGCTTCTGGTCTATTAGCGTTCTGTAGCTTTCTTTATTAGCACTCTGTAGTTTTCAATGTAGAGGTCTTTCACCTCTTTCGTGAAGTTGATTCCCAAGTATTTTTTTCTTGAGGCTCTTGTGAATGGGATAGTTTTCCTATATATTGATATATTTCTTATATATTTCCTATATATTCGCAATTCTTTTGTAGTTGTTGCCCTTGTTCTTTTTATTTTTGATTTTTACTCTTTTTCTGCCTTTTTTAGTTTTAATCAAGCATTTTCATCATCCATGTCCTCTCTTTTCTTAGCATACCAGTTGTAGATTTTTATTATATGCGGTTGCTCTGAATGTGCAATGTACATTTACAACTAATCCAACTCCACTTTCAAATATAACAATAACAATATAACAATAATATAACAATATATTACTTAATGGAAAGTACTGCTATTTTATAGTGACTATAATCCTAATTCCTCACTCCCATTTCTGGCATATTTACTGTCATTCATTTATACATAAGCAAACATGTACATTCATTTTACATAAGCAAACATGCATAAATATACATACGTGTATTCATACATAACAGAATGAATTGTTGCTGTTATTTCAAACTGTTTAGTCAATTAAGAAAAAGAATTTTTTTTTAATTTTGCTTTCACTTTTTTATTTTCCAATGCTCTTCCTTTCTTTTATGGTTCTGTAAGTCTATATCACTTTCCTTCTCTCTAAAGAACTTCTTTTAACATTTCTTGCAAGGCAGATTTAATGGCAAACAAATTTCCCAATTTTTGTTTGCTTGAGACAGTCTTGTTCTCATTCAGTTTTGAAGGACAATTTCGCAGGCTGCAGAATTTTAGGTTGATGGATTTTTTTTTTTCACTTAGAACTTCAAATATTTCACTCTTATCTTTTATTACGTACATGGTTTTGGAGAAGTCAGATGTAGTTCTTATCTTTGTTAGTTTCAAGGTATAATTTTTCCTTCTCTAGTTACTTTCAGAATTTTTTTTCACTTAATCTTTTATTATTTTTCTGAAGTTTGAAAATAATATGTTTAGGTTCCATTTTTCTGGCATTTATCCTCCTTGGTGTCATCTGAAATTTCAAATTCTATAGTTTCATGACTGACATTAATTTGGGTAAATTCTAAGTTATAAGTTGGTGAGGTTTAGAGGTTTAGAGATAATTCAAGTATTTCCTGTTTCTTTCTCTCTCTTCTTCTGGTAGTCCCGTTATGTATAACTTTTGCAGTTGTCCCAGATTTATTGGATATTGCATTCTTCTTTTTTTTTTTTCAGTCTTTTCCTCTTTTCAGTCTGGAAGTTTCTATTGCTATATACTCAAGCTCAGAGACCTTTCTCAGCCTTGTCCAGTCTACTAATCAGTCCATCAAAGGCATTCATCATTTCTATTATAGGGCTTTTGATCTCTGCTAGAGATCAAATGCTATTTCTTTTAGGTTCCTTCTTAGGGTTCCCATCTCTCTGCTTCTACTGCCCATTTCTTGCATTCTGTTGACTTTATCCATCAGAGCTTTTACTACTTTATTCACAGTTGTTTTAAATGTCTTATGTAAAAATTCCAACTACACTGGTTCTGATGATGGCTCTGTCTCTTCAAACTTTGTTTTCTGTTTTAGTGTGTCTTGAAAATTTTTGGTGAGAGCAGACACAACTTACTAGATGGAAGAAACTTCTGTAAACAGGCCCTTAATAATGTGGTAAGTTAGGTAGGGAGAAGGGTGAAGCTTCTGTAGTCCCAGGATTATTAGGTTTCAGTCTTTTGGTGAGCCTCTGAACTTGACAAGGTCTTCACCATTTTTTCACCCTTGGGTGAGACAGTATAGCTAAAGTCAGCTAGAGCTGGGCTTCAGCTCACTTAGGCTCTGATAAAACCCCAGCACTTTAGGCACTATTTAGTTTCTCCTGAAACTAAGTTTCTCCTGTTAAGAACAGAATGCTCAGGTACATTTCAAAATTAGCCATTTTATCCTCCTCTGCTGGAAGCATGAGGGGATATTTCTCTGACATTCACTATGAGAGTCTGGTAGAATGCCAGGAGGTAAAACTCATAGAGCAGGATCCCCGATGACTGAGTTCTCCCGGAGGTTTTATCTCAGATTTGTCCACACTAACCCTCTAGCAATTCCTCAATTACAGTTCACTTTTTCTGCCTCAGTTCTGTTCCTACAAATGTTTGTGAGGCAAACTCTGACCTACCTCACTTCCTTTACGGATCTAAGACCAGCTATTAATTTTTAATTTGTTAAATTTTTTACTTGTTAGGACACAGTGATGAATTCCAAACTTCTGCCTTGATGGGTCAAAAACTGGATGCTGAACAGAAATTTTAAAATTCAAATAATTCAACAAAAAATTTTTTAAAAAAAATAATCAAAATTCCAAATGCTGCCTTTTTAAAAGTTCTACTTGCTAGGGAAATTAGTAAATGTTCACATTAATTCTGAAGTGAAAGACACTAGTTTTCCACTTCATAGTTATTATTCTAGTGGTTATCACCTTGTTTCTAAATAGGTACTTATGGTGTTTTCGCCTTAAATATTATCTATTGAGTTTCCCTAAAGAAAAATGAGTATTTATATTCTTATACTACACACACACACACACACACACACACACACACACACTTCACCTACTCTAGTATCTAATCCCATTAATTTTATAATTATGATTTAAATATTTCCCTACTTAAAATATTATAAGATTTTATAACTATTACTTGCAGCTGAATATGTAGGGTAATATATTTCTTTGCTTGCTTAATTTTTGTTTGTCCCTAGAGTTTTTAATAGTTTCTTATTTTATCAGTTTCCTGCATAAACCTATCTCTTATTTTTATCCAGACTTTCAAATAGAACTATAAATACTCAAAACCTTCAATGTATCTGATAAAATGTCAGCTTCATTACGTTTTGGAACTTCCTACTTTGCCTCCTTAAGCATCTTGTGCCAATCTGAATTCGTGTCTCTCTTGATGTGCTTCTCTGCTGTCATTCTGGATTGTCTCTTTGCAACCAGCCTGGGAATTCCCTTCATCTCTCTTCTGTTTGGGGTGGCATTATCCTTCTCAGTTTATTCCTTCATTTAATGAAATATCTCCTCCAGTAGTGTCTTGAAAAAAAAAAAGGTGTATATGAGTTAAAATTCTGAGGGCTTTCTTATCTGATGCTTACAATTAATTATGTTGAACTAGACACAGAATTCTGGGTTGGTAATCACTTTCCCCCAGCATTTTTAAGGAGATTATTCCAGTTTGTTTTGTTGTTGTTGTTGTTGTTTGTTTGTTTAGCTTCCAATATTGCTATTGAGCAACAGAATGCCATTCTCATTCCTGAACTCTTTTAGAAGCTATGTGGTTTTGTTTTTGTTTTTATTTTCGTTCCTCCCCTGACCTTCTACCCCATTTTCACTTTGTTCTCAGAGGCCTAAAAATTAATAACTACTTGTCAGGCGGAATTCACCACCACCACCAAGAAATTGTGCTGGACATCTAATATGGGCACTCTGTTCTGGGAATTTGGGGAGTACTATTTCTCAGTTAATTTTCTCCTTTATGTTTTCCTACTGATACTTCAGAAATTCCTTTTCTCTAGCTAACATTCTTATCTATTAAGGTTTTTTTTTCCCCCATCTCTATTATTTGTCAGCATTCTGAAAGATTTCCTCATCTTTATCTTCTAAGTCTTCTATTAAATTTTCACTTCTTCTATCATGGACTTAATTTTAATAGTTTTTATTGTTGTTTTCTGAATGTTTCTTTTCATGGATACATTATCTTCTCTTATCTCTCTAAATTTCTGATGTGTTCTGTTCCTGACTTATCTACATACTCCCCAAGTTACTTTCATGATTTTTTTTCTTTTGTCTTGTACACTCTTTGTCAGTTTCCTCAGTTGTCTCATGATCCCTGATGATTTGCTCATGCCTTAGGATGAAGCACTGAGAAATGAATGATGAACAGATGGGGCTTTTGGACTTCATTGATTAGACAGGGACCCAGACATTTGTTTGGAGACCCAAACCATCAGTAGCTGTTGTTTTTTTTCTCATGATGTGATCACTCCTCAGAAGAGGACTCCTCCAAATTCTTTCTTGGGGTATGTAAGACTGTGTGTCAACATTTTCTTGGAACCAAGAAGAGGAAGCTAGGTTGTAGGGTGAGAGGATTCTATTCATTTACTACAAAAAAATTACTTTATTCTCAGGGCCATGCTCTACCTCCAGGTGCATCTGCTGTCCTGGGAGAGAGCCCTGCTGATTCATCTTCCATCTTTGGAAGCATCACCTTCCATCTTTGGCTGGGTTGGAAGAAGTCATTGCCCTAGAAGAGACATGAGAAGAGGATCTTAGGACCTAATTGATTCTCATTTGGTTTTGTAACACAATCCACTTTCAGAACTAATCTCTCGATCTTTTCAAGGTTCTACAACAAAACTTCGTCTGCTCCGGGCATTCCTCACTTTGTTCACTTTCTCTTTGGCTTCCTTTGTTCTCGCCATTCGCTTTTATACTGTCTTAACCTAATTTTTTACAAAATTAGTTTAATCCAGGTGAAGTAGAAAATTCCATTTAATTGTTAACAATGGGAAAGCAGGATTATACAGAAGTGTATCTTCTTCCTTTCCTCCTGGCTCCTTCCCCATACCAGTAGCCAGATGCATTACACAGACACTTTGTTCCCAAGCATACTTGGGCTTCAAGCATAACAGGGCACTGTTCTGAGGAGAACACAGATGACAGCATAGTAGGAAAAAAAAGGTTTTCTAATGCATTTTTCTGAAAGGCTGCTTTGCCATAAGTCTGTGTGTACTTTTTATAACAGGAGAGAACTTCAGTGTTTTACTGACACCCTTGTCTCACTATACTTTTATCAAGGTGACATCAGAAAAGCACTCTAGTTGCCTTTAGGTCTGGGGTGCTAGTAAGGAGAATGAGGAAGTAGAGAAGAGGAAGAGATTTTCTGACTCAGTGCCTGAACCACCTTATTAATCACAACCTTCCAGAAGCAAAGGAATAAGATATGCAAAACATCAATGACCTGAGTAGAATTCATAAGCAAGAACGGGGTGAGAAATGCATCTCTTGCCAAATGGTTGTTTCTCTTTCCTAAACACTGACCAGAGACAGAATCACTCTTCCTCAGTATGATCACGAAACAAGGTTTTTTACCCAAGTCCTTCTCTCACCCTTAGAAAAGTTAGAAAACCTCTAGGGACCACAAAATTTCATGGCAGTTCTTTCATCAAACATTATGGAAGTAGTTAAGAAGACTTTATAGCCTTTTCAGATTTCCTTAAAATTTTCAGAACAAACTTCCATCCCCCTGATCAAGGCTGAAATTTGTATAACCAACTTCACTCTTTGGGGAGGTAGCCTAACCCCCCAGATCCACGGCACGCTAGCCAGTGAGGATCCACAGAGTACATCCCACCCTGGGAACTCCATGGGGGAAAAGAAGTTCAACTTTCAGCCCTGCCATTTAAGAGCTGGTTGATTTTGTTTGAGAATTTATATGTCCTTTCAACAGAATCTGAAAACTACATAATTTAATTGCTACCTTTCTTCGTCACCATTTTTAGAAAATTTGAAGCTAAATCCAGCAATGTATTGTATATATCAGATGACTCATTTGAGGTAGCTGGTAGAATCCTCTCCCTTTGTTTCCTTAGATGATCTTTACTGTGTTTGATTGCCAATGTCTCATTTTGTAGTTTAGTTATGATTTTGAGCCAGATAAAGTCATTGAGTATGAATCTAATTTTTTTTTTGTCCTTGATGCTCCTTTCACTAATGTAGGTGACTTGTCTCTAGGTGGTTCTCCAAGCTGCTTCACTGTCTCTGACACTTTTTGCTACATAAGTGATATGATGTGCTGACTTCGTTTAATTTTATTTTCTCTTTAAAAAAAATGGGTTGGTGCCAATATTTGAAAGTCTGATTTTTAAAGTCGTACAGTTCTCTAAAAATTAATTCAAAAGAGGAAGCACAGCAAGCTACATACTTTTCATCTCCTACCAAAGAAATCATACAAGTTCACAAGCCAGTGAATGTGACTTAGAACTGCCATCAAAAATTTATTTCTATTTCTTCTAAGTACATTTGTAATTCATTTAGAAGCATGTGTTGAGTACCCATCACCTGCCAGAACTGTACTAGTCTATCAGAATACAGATGTAAAACTAAATCTTGTTTCTACAAGATGTCACGATCTCCTGGAAAAAAAAAATAAGAAAACAAGCAGGTACAGCTGGGCGCAGTGGCACGTACCCATCATCACAGAGACTTAGGAAGCCGAGGTAGGAGGATCACAAGCCTCAGCAATGTAGCAAGACCCTGTCTCAAAATAAAAAGAAAAACTGAAAAAGGGCTGGAGGTGTGTAGCTCAGTGGTAAAATACCCCTGAGTTCAATTCCTAAAATCACAAAAGAATGAGAGAGAGAGAGAGAGAGAGA